AATATATAATTATCAATTATTAATCATCAATTTACCGTAATTGAGAATAGGATAAGGGATCCTTACCTGAATTGATGTTTCGAGACACCGCACTATCTACTACGCCTCCTAAAGGGTCCCAAATTTTCTGAATTTTCCTGCATAAATAAAAAATTATCGTCACACAACTAACAATACTCAAAAAATCCCAAATCGATGTCGAAAATTCATTTTTAGCCAATTTTAGGGTTCTGGCATGGTAGTGCTGCCGTGCTCGGGCGTCGGCTCTGTCGCCCATGGTAATGGTTCACTTCAGCCTAGTTGGTTTTTACCGATTTTGATCGATTCTACATGTATCCCTGCAGAAAAATATGTTAGGGAGCCTCAGTTGATCGAAAAATTACAAAAAATCGAACCTACCGGCGGGAGATCTTCGGGTGCGACGGTTTCACCAGTTCTCCTTCGCGGCTGGATTTTCTTCTTCGGTTAACCTGTACAGAAAAAAATGATGAACACAATGGTCGAAAAATCGTGTGAAACGAGAAGCAAAAAGGGATTCATTTGAGGGGTTTTAGGATTTCAGACGTGGCAGCTCCGTTGGATTTTGTCGGCAGTTTTCGGCTCACCTGCCGTTTCTTTTGCTCCGATATGATCATAGAGAGACTCAGAATTGAATTCCGGTGGGTATGAGAGAATTTTACCATTTTTGGTGCTCGGTAATGGCTCCGTGAGACAGCAGCTGGGGGTTGGTCTCCTTCTCTGGCGAAGGCAGGTGCAGCTAAGGTTAGGGTTCTCTTACAACGCGATATTTTTATACTTATCCCGTATCGATTTGGGCTGTCCATTCGCGTCGACATGGAACGAGAATAGTCGTCCGATCGTTGCTTGTTTAGGTCGATTGCGTGGGCAAATTTAGATCGTTCATCGCAATTGATTTCATCCATCTGATCGCGTCTAAGGAGGAAATGCATCTGAGCCGTTCACGTGCATTGGATTGAATTTGGGTCATCGGATCACTGGACACGCAGATCGCCCTCAAGGCCTCCTGCATGGCGCTGATGTCAGCGTGTTTTGCCACACGGCGTATTTTGGTTCGCCGTGGCTACTAATTGGGTCGTCCCACGTGACCGAATTTCTCATTTTTGTATTTTGATTCCATTATTTCTAATTTTTCTTTCAAAAATACCATCCAAACTCAAATTTTCACAAATCTTCTCCAAAATTACTTTTAATTATGTCCCTAACTTATTTTTCTCAAATAATTAAATTAAATTAAATTAAAATAATATTTTTAATTATTTTTATAAACACAAAAATTGATCCCAGACCAAATTTCGGATCCGAGTATTACAGATTAGTTTAGTCGGTTTAGTTTTATTGGTTAATTCAATTTAAACATAAAATGTTCATCCTTACTCACCAAATGTACTTTAAGTTAATTTTTCTATCACCACATACTTTGTCTTACTACAAGTTTAATACGGGATGAAAAGAGTTTTTTAATGTTATATATTCTGTTATAAATATTTTGCTAAAATAATTATGATGTACAACAACTAAATGAAAAATAACATAATATTAATATTAATATGACAATGTTAATATTATCATACTAATTGTCTTTATGAGAAGAAGAGAAGCAAACTTTAGGGTATGTTAATTAATATCATAATTCTCTTAATAACTCTTCTCATGAGTTACTTTATAATCAAACTATATGTAACATTCAAAAATACTATTCAAATTTAAAAAAAAAAAACAAAAATTCGTAACCTTAAATTATTAAATATTGTAATTATTATTATTATTATTATTATTATTATTATATATCAACTAATAAATAAGAATACCCTATAATTTCTATTAAAAAATATTAAATTCTATTAGTTTAAATAATTATAATAAATTAAAATTTTAATTTAAAAAATAATTTTTTATAATTTTCCTTCAAACAAAAGCATCTTTATTTTTTAAATACATACTAAATTAAACAAATAGAGATTTTTCTTAAAAATAATATATATATATATATATATAAGACAAAAAAAGTGCATGTGCAAGACCATAGAATTAAATTTTAAAGAAAAAGCCAAAAATCAAATCACAAAAGCCAGCTAGTAGTCTATGAGGCAACGAATAGAAACGTATCTGATTTTTCTATCAAGAAAAAAAAATTCGTTGGTGTATTTAACATCTCCAGCCACAAATTTACTTAAATTTTAGTTTTCTAAAAATAAAAATAATAATTTTATATCACAATTATAATAAATTTTATTTTAAAAAAAATATTATTTTTAGCTTCAAAGTTAATTTTATTTTATTTTTCTAAATAATTTATAGTATGATAAAAGAAATACAAAATAATTATTACAAAAATAAAAAATATGAATACAATTAGTTCAATATTTATATATAAAACATAAATTATTAATAATTAAATTTAAAAATAAAAATAGAAATAAATTCAAATAAATGTCATGCAATTAATTGTGTCCAAATATTTAGAAACACATCCGAAACTTGTCTCTCCCACTTTGCTTATTCAGAAAGATTAAAAGTTACCCTTTCGAATTTTTTAAGGGCCATTTCCCACTTTTTAATTCTTTAAAAAAAAAAAAAAAAATTCATCCCATTGGAAAATTGCTTACAATATATATATATATATATATATGTATATATGCATATTGTTATTGTTACATATGTTTATTTCCCGCAAAATGTTGAAAAAAAGCTATTTCGTATTTACTTTTTTTTTAAAATAAAATAATAATTAAATTTGATATGATTCTAAATAAATCTATTAAACTCATTTTTTTATTTATAAGTGAGTAATTATATATCTGTTTTCTAAATATTTTAATGTAAAATTAGATCGGAGATAAAGAGAAAAAGTTATTCGTAAAAAATTTATTACGGGGACAGTAAATTAAAGATGAAAACTTGTGAGTTAGAAAAAAAAATCTTCATCTAAATTACTATACACAAAATCTTGTAAAATACTTAATTATTAAATATACCGATAAGAAATATTAAACAACACGAAGAAACTCAAGTTGGTTTTACCATTTGGCTACCAATATCATCTTCTAATAGTTAATGAAACTATCCAACTTGCATTTGGTTCGTAAAACTTTTCTTTTAAAAAAAAAAATTGTTGTTACTTACTTTTAGGCATAAGAATTTGTGTGTAATTTAAATAATAAATTGTTAAACTCACTAAATACAATCTTCAGTTTCAATATTATGATTTATTTGTGCGAGAAAGAAAAATCTGATGTATATTATATTGTCTAAAAATAATAAATGAATGATGAGAAGGGAAAGATTTTAAGAATGAAACAAATTTACGTATAAGTTAACACGTTAGTGTAACTTTAAATTAAAAGATAATAAGTTTATTTTCACTTATATAACTGTTAGGAGAAAAGTTGAGATTTATTGTTTTTATTGTATATGAAATTTTATATATCTCTAAATTTTTTGTTATCTAATACACAATTTACATTTCCTCATAACTAATTTCTTCGAATATAATTTCAATTTTAAATTTATTTCAAATATAATTTTAAACGTTATATTATAAGAATAGTTTGAATAATTATTATCTATACATTTGTTTGACTTCATCTTCATAACTTGAATTCATATAAAATTCTATTTATTTTCTTTACATATTAAATCCAATTATTTTTTACAATTAAAAACATTATGACCACATAAACTAATTATAGATGTAACATATTCTATTGAAAAAAATGAAAAACATGTGTAATAAATTAATGTTAGTGTTTTAATTTTTCTTTTTCAAGATCATCTCAAAGAATTTGTTTCTATCATTTTTTAACTAAATTTTTTTTATTAAAAAAATTAGCATATTTTATGAGAAAATTAAGCAATAAAATAAAAGGATTGGAGATCATCTTTCACCAAAAGCAACAAGAATCAAATTCCATGCCTTGCTTTAGGTTTCTTTAATTTCATCTATTATCAAATCAAACCTCAAACATTCTCCATTATATATTATTCTCAATTCCCGAACTACTTCACTATTTTCTAAATTCAATAGTTTCAGTAAATCACGATAGTTTGATTTAGATTATATTTAAAATTATTTTTAATAATTTATGTAATTATAAATCTTATTTTATAATTTACTGAGATTTATTGACTTTATATCCCGTACTACTACAAATAAATAATCTTAACACAAATTTATTGTGGTCTTGAAATTAGTAGTCATTTTTATATATGGGGTACTTGTAGTTGTTTCCTTATTATATTTGCTTTTGTACTAAATTTTATTACTAAAAAATATTCTTTAATTAATAAAATGAATAATGATGACAATAATTTTGAGCAAATAATTTATATATTTATTAATTAGGTGAAATATATATTTATTATTATAATAATAATTATTGCTAATATCTTTCTTAGGTTAAATAATTAAAAAAGGAGATAATATCAAATTCTATATTGAATTAAAATAATGCAAATTAAATTTAAAATACATTATTCTAATATTAAATAGAATTTCTAGTCATTTTAATATATTTTATGTAATTTTATAAGTATAATAACCTATAGATTTATAAATAAATTCTCAAATATTTTAAAATTTGTCATAAACATAATCTAAAAGATAATAAAAGTTTCATATAAAAAAAATAAAATTTGAGCTTAAGTAAAATTGGAACAATTACATTCAAAATTCTACTAAATTTTATGGAATTAAAAAATATTATTTAAGTTTTACATTAAATTTCATATGAAGCTAATTTTTTTAATTTAATTAAATAATATAAATTTATAAATAAATTTTAACATAAAATATAAATTTATATCAAAAATAATTTTTATTTTTTATTTTGCATGAAATTCCCTTTTTTTTTTTTGTCCTTTTGATTTCACGAAACTACAACAGGCCTAGCAGGGTGGTGGATTTTAGTGCGGCGCCCACCGATCCATGGAAATAAGAACAAGCTTCCATTTATTTATTTTTTTGTAATTTCATTTCTAGAAATCGAGGTGATCCACAGAGAAACACGCTTCACCATCTTTGTCTCTTTCTTTTTTCATGAGCTTTAAGAACCAAAACCCACACCAGACTCCTCTCCATCAGTCTATAAATAAACAGCATATTCATCACTCTGATTTTCAGTTTTCCCCTCTTCCTCTCTCGTGAGTCAAGTCTCTTCCTTTCTCGTCAGCTTTCTCGTGTTGAACTTCATAAGAAACTTGTTTCTTCAGCCATTTTCTATCATCTGCTCGTCACGAGATTCACTTCACTGTATTGCTCTTTTCATCCACAGATTCAATTCAATTGTTTTTTCTTTTTCTTCAAATGGGTTTTGGATTATTTCTACTCTTTTTAACTCTTCCTTGTCTTGTATCATTCGCTGCGTGGTTTTGATCACCTTTTTATTGAATACAGAGGCAGAAAAATATAGAGTAGCAGATAGAAGGCGAAGTGAGAGCGAGGAGGAAAAATGCCGACTAGGAATTTGGAGAAGATGGCATCGATAGATGCTCAGTTGAGACTACTGGCACCGAGGAAGGTCTCTGAGGATGATAAGCTGGTGGAGTATGATGCTTTGCTATTGGATCGGTTTCTTGATATTCTTCAAGATTTACATGGAGAGGAGATTAGAGAAACGGTATTGTCTTTCATTTCCAAGCAATTCTTTCTTTCTTTTTAAAAAAATTATGTTCGCAAAAATTGGGGACCAACTTTTTCTGCATGCAACCATAAAAGAGATGTTTTGGTCGACATTCGTCGAGACCCTTTTCGGTTTTATCGAAATTTCAGACTTCATTTCAATTTGAAAAGTAAAGCAAGCGAAGTTCTACCTTGTTTTTCTTGCCTTGTGTGAGCTTTGACGGGCTAAGTTTGAATTCTAGTTGGGATTTTTTTTTTCCTTAGATTGTTGTTATGTTAGTTGATGCTCAAGCCTTGGACTGAGATTTAAGTTAAAAGTTTCTTTCATCGCCTTTTTTTTTTTTGAAGGGAAAAAATACATTCTCTCTGGGTCTTCACTTTTATGATTTAAACAAATCAGAGGAGTGATAATGAGAAAGAAAAATGAAACTTGTGGAAATATGAGATTTATTGAGTCAAGCCTTTAGTTTTCATCAATTGTTTCCCCTAATGTTGTTGCACTTAGTAAAGTTAATTTTATTAAATGAGTTGATTGATGAAGATTTTGGAAGGTTCTAATCAGAGTTTTGATTATAAACGGACAGAATATGTAACTGCATTTTGCAATCTAATGTTGTTTAGGTTCAAGAATGTTACGAGTTTTCAGCTGAGTATGAAGGGAAGCATGACCCTCAGAAATTAGAGGAGCTTGGGAATGTGCTGACAAGTTTGGATCCTGGAGATTCAATAGTTATTACAAAATCATTTTCCCACATGCTTAGCTTGGCCAATTTGGCTGAAGAAGTTCAAATTGCTTATCGGCGAAGGATCAAACTTAAGAAGGGTGATTTTGCTGATGAGAATTCTGCAACAACTGAATCAGACATTGAAGAAACCTTCAAGAGGCTTTTGCAATTGAAGAAGTCACCTGAAGAAGTGTTTGATGCTTTGAAAAACCAGACTGTTGACTTGGTCTTGACTGCACATCCTACTCAATCTGTCCGTAGATCTTTGCTTCAGAAGCATGCAAGGTATTGTCTTACTGTTTCTCAGTCTTTGGAGAGCATCTGAGAGTTGCTATTATGATTAATGTCTCTTAGAAATTTTTCCAGTTATTAGATAGTATCTACTAGAAGTTTGACATAATTGTTTGTTAATTTAACCTTTTAGGATCCGCAATTGCTTGACCCAATTATATGCGAAGGATATCACTCCTGATGATAAGCAGGAACTTGATGAGGCTTTACAAAGAGAGGTAGGCAGATGCTGTTGATATAATGCTGTTTATCTTATGTGTTTATATAAAGGGCTCATGGCTCATGGATTCATGTAGACCTTCTACTTAAATCAAAGTGTAAATGTAACAATATAATGGCGCTTCTTTCCTTTCTTAAACTTTTAGTTAGTTCTTTCCTTTTAGGACATGAATGCTACTTAGGATATACCATTAAAATTCTCTTTTGCTCTTTATATTTTTCTAATTCTAATATCCCTTAACATGCAAATAACATGTTTGAGTTTGAGCATATTTGATGTAATGAAGAAGAACCCCGTTTTTTAATGAGAGCATATGCTGTAAATATTAGGCATATTAAAATGCCGAATCACAAACCAGTCTTTGTTTCTGAATTCTAAAAATAGTGCTTCTGTTGTTAGTCTCCGGAGCTAATCATGTAATATTTAAATTCGTCTCTCACACATGGGCTGCATGCACACTGGATACATTAACATCTGTGTGCATATATGTCCAGATGCATGTAGGTACAGAACTGCTTTCTAAATTAAGGTAAAATAACTTTTTTCTTGTATGATATTAAATGAAGATTGAAAAGTTTGAGGTAATGAGAGTCCAGAAATGCACATAGGTAACGTCATGTTTTAGATACTTATACCTTGTAACCTGTGCATATGTCAATATGGTTGTGTAGAATTACTAGAAAGGGCTGCATTTTTATAGAAAGAAATTTTATATATGCTTGATTTATTTGAACCACATTTGTGTAAGTTTGACATTTTTGTAACATAGGCATGCATCACATGCTTCATTTTGAGCGAATCTGCTTTGTGCTAACTTATTTGATTTGGTTAGCTATGCAAGAGAGTTAAAACTCCTTTGTGTAACTATCAGTTATGATTTCACAGATGACTTTTGGTTTTGTTTTCTTAGTTGATTTGCTTAGGTCCTTTTCTTGTTTGAAATTGGAAAGTAAATTTATAATGCTGGATTTCAAGAGTTTGGCATTAATTGTCGTCTTCTTACCGTTCGAAAGTATTTGGGAATTGTGTTAATCAGAAACTCCTAATACTGCCAATCACACATTATTTTGTTAATCATGATTGGATATTTGAGGTTCTTTCCTCTTTTTGTTTTTATTATCAAAGAAATACAATATTAGAAGGAACATGTTTGTCAAAAGGCTAACTACATCCATCTTCTCTTTTTGCTAGATTCAAGCTGCATTTCGTACAGATGAGATCAGAAGAACTCAGCCAGCTCCACAAGATGAAATGAGAGCAGGAATGAGTATTTCCATGAAACAATTTGGAAAGGCGTGCCAAAATTTTTGCGGCGTGTTGACACTGCTTTGAAGAACATAGGAATAAATGAACGTGTTCCTTACAATGCCCCGCTCATTCAGTTTTCTTCTTGGATGGGTGGAGATCGTGATGGTACATATTTCTCCACATGCTGTAGTTGCTGGATTTATGTCCTTCCTGACCTTTTAATTTTCCATTCTTCTGTTTGTCATGCTTCTTTTCTGTGTACTGGTGGAGGAGACCATTGCTGCAACAAATGTTAACTTCTTTCTGGTCTTTGAAGCTAAAGGATGTGATTTAAGAGAAAGAGGGCCTTGAAGTAATACTAAAGAAAATTTTAACAATGAGCAAAACTTGGAGATCTTTAAATAGGGTTACACTTTGTGGAGGCATAGACCATGCAAACAGAGAGAACATACAACACCTAACCAAATAGGAATTCGTAATATGAACTAAACTATGGTAGAAGCAACATAAATTTCTTAACCTTCTAATCCTTTTACTATTTCCGAGAAAAGCTAAGACCCTATTTAGTAAATAAAACATTTTCTAGTTTTTATTTCTTAACTTCATATATTTCTCTATGTAATTGTATGTACGGTAGAATGGGCTTGCTTGATACGTTTCTTAAAAGAAAATCTTAAGAACTGTTTTTAATTCTTTCAAACTCCTTCCATAATTTTTACTATCATTTTCTGTGCATTATTGTTATAATACATGTTTTATGTATAAACATATATGAATTTAGGAAATAGAAACAAGAAAAATGTTTTGAAGTACCAAATGGAGTGTAAATATTCTGATATGTAAAATATCGTAATTACATAAATATCTTTAATTTTGTAGTCCTTCCCCTTTAGGATCTTCCTTTTCTGCATCAGGATGAAAGTATGTAGTGAAGATATTACTAGCAGGATTTAGATATACAAATATGTATGGATACAAACACATTTATTTCTGCATCATTGTTTTGGAATTACAATGTAGAAGAAATTGATTAATGAAACATTTGTTATTTGGCTTTCTTATTTTGACACAAAAACATTGAGTTCTTGTCCTATACCACGTCACAGGACATGAGGATAAAAATATTTGAACTTTTTAGAGATTTAACTCTTTTCTTCCGGGAAAGGTGAACTTTTCCTTTTCCCTTTTCATTTTTTCTCTCTTTACTTCACTGTCATTCTTGCCCATACCAATCATTTATGCATCATAGTTGTCTGAAACATGAGCTCTTTCTTGGTTGTAGTTTGTTGACATGTCTGTGGACTACAGGAAATCCCCGGGTAACTCCTGAAGTAACCAGAGATGTATGCTTACTGGCCAGAATGATGGCTGCTAACATGTACTTCTCCCAAATAGAAGACCTTATGTTTGAGGTATCAAAGGAATATCATGATTTCTTAGGCATTCCCTTGTCATTTTAGTCTTTGAAGCATTATTACTTTGTTAGTGCTCAAGTCATCTTCCTTTCTCGGACATTCTTTTTCTTCCATTTTAATCTTTGAGCGTATATAATTTTTTATGGCACTGACATTTGCGCTTGTTCTTGTTTCTACAATTATGTTCATAGTTGTCAATGTGGCGCTGCAATGATGAACTACGTGCTCGTGCAGATGAACTTCATAGGTCCTCAAGGAGGGATGCAAAACATTATATAGGTGAAGAAATAGATTTTTCCATACGCTCTGGACTAAATTATTGATGCTTTCATGAAACTCATTTCTGGCATTTTCTTTTCCTTTCTTTTTGTGTTCATTCTGTTCTAGAACCTGTTCATCTTTCTTATATTTTCCTAAACTTAACTCTAGTTCTTTTTTATTCTAGTGCCCTCTTCTACTTCAATCTCCAGAGTTACTGGAAGTAGTTTTTACGAGAACTCATCAGTGTTCCTTTTTTCTTTTTCAAATGCTCTTATTTGTCAGTTGTGTTCGATCTTTTAGAGTGATGATGTCAATATTTCTCAGCAGAAATCTCCACAAACTTTTAAGCTGAGTGGGAGAATAATTTCTTTTAAGATATTTTCATTAGCTTTGCTAAATTGGTTTACACTTTGGACATGATAAGTACAGTACGTTCTTTCTCCTCAATGTCTTTCATGGATGCAGAATTTTGGAAACAAATTCCTCCCAATGAACCCTACCGTGTTATTCTTGGTGATGTGAGGGATAAGCTGTACAATACACGTGAACGTTCTCGTCAGTTACTAGCCAATGGGATTTCTGAGATTCCCGAGGATGCAACTTTTACAAATGTTGAGCAGGTCCTTTCCTTTTCTATCTTTATGCAACTCAGAAGAAGTTATTGATTGCAATTCTAATAAATTTCTTGAACAGCATAAACAAAAATATTGTTCCTCTATCAGATGATATTAAGTATGGTGATTTGCGCGCTAAGAAAATACGTTGTTGTGGTGCTAGACTCTTATTGTTGCCTTGACACTAAAATTTATGGTCTTTGTGGCTGCTTTTAGTTTATTGAGTAATCTTTGAAATGCATAATTCTTACTAAAGTGTATCTCAAAAAAAAGTATATTGTTACTAAAGTTAAATAAAGATTTGTATCTATGTAAAATAGTTCAAAAGAAAATATGAAATAGGATCTTACATAAAGATGTAAGTAAGAGCTAGATTGCCAAACTTTCTTCATATTATAACCAGTAGGTTCATGCCCTTTGTGTGAGGCAGGTCTTCGCTGCAATTTTCATATCTTAAAAATTCGCACCATATTATGCATGTTGTAATTTGATTTGAAGAACATTTGAACTTACATTTCTATGTATCCTAACTGCTTTTTCTGGAATGTAATATCGAGACTAGATTGTTCAAAGTTCTCAAAACTAACTTTTCCTTGATGCAAGATCAAATATTTCAAAACATTAGGAAATTTTGAGCTATTGGCTAACAGGAGAGGTTATTAGTAAGTTTTTTATAGCATGAATCACTAGCAATGGTTGCATATATGCTTGTACCTAAGTATAGAAACCTAATGTTTGTAGGGGAGATTAACAAAAAAGTATCAAGGATCATGGGTATAAAACCCTTCATATTTTGGGTAAGGGTTATCATACATTTGATGCGGCTGGTTTTACTGATCATATTGTTGAAATATTTCTGCACCAAGTAAAGTTAATTCCATATGAGCAGTCAATATGAAATATATTTGTATTATTTTGAAATGGAACTTCTTTTGCTGATTTTTCTCTAGAAAGAGACTGAAGTTCTATTTATATCAACTTGGAATGTCTTGTCGCTAGGTGTTTGCATTATTCATTTATAGATTAAGGCCCTGAGTAGTCAACTACTGTTTGTAAGAAGCCACGTGCTTAGCTTGAAAACCATTATGGTTAGTGCAAGTCACGAGAAATCGGTTGCCACTGTTCAATTTTCCCACTGGAATTTATTTGATTTAATTTGTTTTTTTCTCCCATCTGATCTAATTTTATGTTTATTTTGCTGTAGTTTCTGGAGCCTCTTGAACTCTGTTATGGGTCACTCTGCTCTTGCGGTGATAGGTCAATAGCTGATGGAAGCCTTCTTGATTTTTTACGTCAAGTGTCTACCTTTGGGCTTTCACTTGTTAGACTTGATATCCGGCAAGAATCTGACAGACACACTGATGTTATCGATGCAGTCACTAGACACTTGGGAATTGGATCTTATCGTGAATGGTCTGAAGAGAAGAGACAAGAATGGCTCTTATCTGAGCTCAGTGGCAAACGCCCCCTTTTTGGTCCTGATCTTCCCAAAACTGAAGAAATAACTGATGTATTAGACACATTTCATGTCATTGCTGAGCTTCCTGCAGATAATTTTGGTGCCTATATAATCTCAATGGCAACAGCCCCATCTGATGTACTACTTGTTGAGCTTTTACAACGTGAATGTCGAGTGAAGCATCCACTTAGAGTTGTTCCATTGTTTGAGAGACTTGCTGATCTTGAAGCTGCTCCTGCAGCTGTGGCCCGTCTCTTCTCTATTGATTGGTACCAAAATCGGATCAATGGGAAGCAAGAAGTCATGATAGGGTATTCAGATTCGGGAAAAGATGCTGGTCGTCTCTCTGCTGCTTGGCAGTTATACAAAGCTCAGGAAGAGCTTGTAAAGGTGGCAAAGCAGTATGGCATTAAGCTTACAATGTTCCATGGCCGAGGTGGAACAGTGGGAAGAGGAGGTGGGCCGACTCACCTTGCTATATTGTCTCAACCCCCTGACACAATTCATGGATCACTTCGAGTTACAGTTCAAGGTGAAGTTATTGAACAATCCTTTGGAGAGGAACATTTGTGCTTCAGAACACTACAGCGGTTTACAGCTGCTACTCTTGAACACGGTATGCACCCTCCAGTCTCCCCAAAGCCAGAATGGCGTGCACTCATGGATGAGATGGCAGTCATTGCAACAAAAGAATACCGTTCTATAGTTTTCCAGGAACCTCGTTTTGTCGAGTACTTTCGCCTGGTAATCATTCAACTAATTATTGTCTTTCAGTTTAATTTGGTCTTACAAAATTATGTCTACTTTGCTCAAGTTTGGAATTAATGGCACTGTCAGTTTCTTGCATGGAATAAGTGGCGTAGTTGTTATTAAGAATATTGCCGAGCAGTCCTGAAACAAAATGCTCCATAATAATTTGTGATAACCATCAGAACAACATTTTATTAAAATTTTTGATCTGATGGCTGCAGGCAACCCCAGAGTTGGAGTATGGTCGGATGAACATAGGGAGTCGTCCATCAAAACGAAAGCCAAGTGGCGGAATTGAATCACTCCGTGCAATCCCATGGATCTTTGCATGGACGCAGACGAGATTCCATCTACCTGTGTGGCTTGGCTTTGGAGCTGCATTTAAGTATATCATTGAGAAAGATGTTAAGAATCTTCACATGCTCCAGGAGATGTACAATCAGTGGCCTTTTTTTAGGGTTACAATTGACTTAGTTGAGATGGTGTTCGCCAAGGGAGACCCAGGAATTGCTGCTTTATACGATAAACTCCTTGTGTCAGAAGAGTTATGGTCGTTTGGTGAGCATTTGAGGAATAACTATGAAGAAACAAAGAGCCTTCTCCTCCAGGTATCAATCTACTATGCACTTTCTAACCTTTGTCTAAAAATTAAGGGAGAAGTTGGGGACTCAGGATTCCTATCTGACCTTGTGTCATGACAAGTAGGACAGGACAAGTCTCCATGACATTTGATACTTGTGAAGAAAAGAAAAACTAAAAATCCGAAAATCCAAAAATAGAAGTCTCCATGACATTTGGTTGCTAAGGTTTACTTTCTTAAGACTATCATCATATTAAGCCTTTTTTATCTATATACTTAGGGAATGTTGCCTTTGCCAAGGATGCAGCTGAATCCTGCAATCACATACTTTTATAGTATCCTGTTGTATATAATCTTTGGTCAATGGTGTATGGATTATTAGGGGTTTAACTGGATTGTTGCGGGTTTGATGAGGGAGGAGATTTGGGCTTAGAGGGGAATATGTAAAAAGAAAAAATATGTAAATTTCTTTTGACAAATTTTTGGGTGGTGTGGAAAGAGAGGAATAAAAGAGCTTTTAAGAGGTAGAGAATGAAATGTCGAAATTAGAGATGGTTACATTATTTTGGTTCTTTGATTTGGTACTATAGATTTATTATACTGGTTACACTTTTTATTAGTATTATTATTTTTTTTTAAAGATCTATATATTAGGAAAGTTCGTTAGCTTTAATTCCAGATATTTTATTAGGAACGGAAAGTTTCCAATGGAAATTTGAATCCTTGAATATATATATTAAAAGGTAAATGCACTTCTATAATCAGAGTGAAGCAAATCAGGGATAAAGTCATCGCCAATAACTGCTTGCTACAGCCAGGTTTTAACACAATCTTCAATTTTTTTTTTCGTATTCTTGTAGATTGCTGGGCATAAAGATCTCCTCGAAGGAGATCCCTACTTGAAGCAAAGGCTTCGTCTTCGTGATGCATACATTACAACACTCAACGTATGCCAAGCATATACTCTGAAGCAGATCCGTGATCCCAACTTCCATGTTAAGGTGAGGCCACATTTGTCGAAAGATTATATGGAATCAAGCAAGCCTGCGGCAGAGCTTGTGAAGCTTAACCCCACAAGTGAATATGCACCTGGCCTTGAGGACACCCTTATTTTGACAATGAAGGGTATTGCAGCGGGCATGCAGAACACTGGTTGAGGAGGTCTTTTTGTGTCCCCGTAATGTTAAATATGTTTATGTATGTATGTCACCCTTTTTCGATGTTATATAGATCTCGGACGAACAAATGTGTTTCTCTTCAACCAATAGCCAATAAATTGTCAAACTGTTTATGTTAATATATTCTGATGTTCCTAATGCTGCAAACTGTATGTTTTTTACATGGCATTGTAGGATCAACTTACAGAAAAGCAAAAGCACAAGTCTGTCTTATCTAATCAAGCATCTCTTTTTGTTATTCGACAAGGAAATGAGTTAAAAAGCTTCCCAGGTTTAAGCTGTGAAATTCACTCTCTACTGTCAAGATCGACAGATTAATAGTCAGACTTGAAAAATAATAAAACAAAAATGAGGTTCCTGAGAATTGAAGATGAAATCTTCTTCACACGTATTAAACCAAACAAAATCAACGGATTTTAGTTCAATAATTATGTTCTCTCTTTCATACTAAACAATCAGTTTCAACTTTTACGAATATTTCTACATATACATTGTACTGACACGAAGATTAAAAAAAATTAAAGAAAAAATCATCTAATTCCCATATTAGTGACAGTTTTCTGGGTTCATGATGCAAATATTTGACCGATAAATCAAATAAAAATTACAGTGATGGCTTCTTGCCTTTCTAACAAGACTCTCTTTCTTTACACCCGAAATAGAACTTCCCTCCAAAATCCTGGTTGCGCTTTAACTTCGAAGCAGAAGTCTGATATGCAACTGAAACATTAATATCAGAAAAATATCATGAAAATCACAATGAATAAACATTACTCTAACCATCACGAGGCTATTAAGAAAGCAAATTATCACCAACAAATTGGCAATGCAATCAGCTGAACGTAAAACACAGGCTTCGAAAAATTCCAGAGAACTTATTCAAATACGCAAATCTATACTTG